CATTCAGTACCAGGAAAAGGAAGAAATCACAGAGGAAAATGCAAAAATTCATTCTGCTAGGCCAAAATCTTCTGTTTCTTTCCATTGTTGTTATTTCTTTGCTAAAAGTAACATGTTCAGCAAGAGAAAATCCCACAGAAATCCCACAGAAAATCCCATCTCTGCTGTGCGGTGTCTGAAGCCTCACAAGCAAAATAAGTGTTACACACATAGGAAAGACAGAAATGAAAGAACTTACTTCTGATTACTGACCCCAAATCCTCCATCTTCCTTGAAGACATCATATATAAACTTCAGCTTCTAAAGAAAAGCTCAGAAACTGCAGTCATCTTTGCTCAGTAATTGTTCACCAGTGAAAGTTTTCAAAGCTAATCCACTACTCAGCCTGAAGTGTTAGCTGCAGAACCTGAACCAGAGACAGCTCTCCAGCACCTGCGTCTCCCACGCTGCGAATGGCACAGGATCGGAAAACAGTCCTCGGAGCTAGCACTGTTCCTGTACTGCCATAATGAAATCATAGTTGTGGAGATAGCCTGGTACATCCTGCCTGCCCCAGCCAAATGGAAGAAAAAAATAAGGGAATGTGGGAGAAGGCAAAGGCTAGTGAAGTACACTGTGACTGTAATCAAGCTACATGGGTGCTGGATCATTTGAGCTGTAGAGATACAGTTCATACTTCCTGATCAGATTTCTGCCTTGCTGAACTCATTTTCCAGAACTGGCCTTGCTGTGCATCACAGGGCCAAGAGTTCATGCTATGACTTCGAAGAGAGACCATCTAATTTGCAGATTATTTTAGCAACTCAGTTACAGTGTAAGAGCATTACATTGTAAAATTACTTCTCTATCAGTTGAACTTCAGGCTATTAAAAGTAGCACAAAAGACAGCAGTTAAAGAACAGTCTTTTCAACTACTCTACTTTCCTATTTTTGGAGATGCATTTCTTTATTATCCTAAAATACTACAAGCAGTAATAATTTATCTGTTCTCTATTGTAATTATGACATGAAAATAAAATAATGTGCAATTAATATTCTCCTTAATGATCCTTTCTAGAAAGATAATCACCACAATAACAATGTATCACATAAGGGCAGATAATTTTAATAACTTGAAAGAATACACTACGGATCTCTCTACATTGCTAACTTCAGATTTAATACTTATCTGGTCTGAACTGAGTGATACAAGTAGAACAACTGCTGCTAATGGGAAATAATGCATTCCCTAGACACCTGTCTACAGTGTATCTCACAAGAGAATAGAGAGTCACCGCTTTCCATTATGCTGATGAGGGTGAATCAAAGTGACCCAACATAGGGTTTGAGGCAGGAGGAGAAAGTGATTATAACTGATTTAAACTTGGCTTCTATACCATTATTAAAAACATATTACAAACTAAACTAAAACAAAAGAAAAAAATTTTGGAAATTTTGGGTCTCCAGCAGCCTAGTAGATACTCATTTAGCAAGAGAAGTGCTATGGTGCATTTGAAGATACTAAGAAAACAACATTTTTTAAGGCTTTTAATAACCTTCCAATAAAAACTTTATTTCCCATGTGAAAAGTATTCTATCACAGATTTCCTGATCAGTTCCATCTCTTATATCCAGGGAGCTCAGTCCCTTTCTGTACAGTCTCATGTTCATTACCACGTGACTGGATGGACAATATATGTAGCTTTTGTATTGTTCAGGGTGCAAGTGGTACCAGCATGGCAGCTATGGCAGCCTTGTCTGAATGCAAGACAGAGCTTCCTGAAGGCAGTATTAGGAGTACTGTGTTTTCAACACATCTTCAGAAATGATTTTCTGAAGTAGATGGGTTAAGGAAAGATTTAAAGACATACATAAATGTAACAAGCAGCTTTCGTAACATTTTTCTGAGTAAGGAATATGTTCTGGAAGGACTTACAAAACTAAAACACAATTTAAAAGACTACACCTTTGCTTAAACAGCAGAAAATCTTGTTGTTTCCTTACTCTTTCAACACATCTTCAGAAATGATTTTCTGAAGTAGATGGGTTAAGGAAAGATTTAAAGACATACATAAATGTAACAAGCAGCTTTCGTAACATTTTTCTGAGTAAGGAATATGTTCTGGAAGGACTTACAAAACTAAAACACAATTTAAAAGACTACACCTTTGCTTAAACAGCAGAAAATCTTGTTGTTTCCTTACTCCACATCTATTAGTTCCTTTACTCACTGACATGTAGACATCTTCACAATACCTTAACATTCAGGGATATTGAATATAAGGAGAAATTAGCGGTGATCCTCTTCGTTCTTTCAAACAGATCTTTTTTCTCATTTTCTCCTCCTCGTTGTGGATGCCCCTACCAACAGACACTCTCAATTTGCCTGAGTTGTGGAAGCTCAGAATAGTTCAAACACATTTGCACATCTTCGCTTGGTCTTCCCTTGCTAGTAGATCCACTCAGTTTTTAAAACCATGTTTTTGTAATTAATAAATGTGACTTGGAAATAGTTGTTAGAAGACTCAGAGACATTCCCTTAGGAGCAGATTTTTGAGGCCAGAAGCTTCTATACTCCCCAGTGAAAAGCCCATACAAACCCTGCTCTTCCAGTATGCAGTTTTTATAAACACATTAAGTGCTTATTACACTGGCTCTGAATGATGACTCAAGGGGTCCACAAGCTCTAAAAGCAGCCAGGTCTGCAGCTGAGTGACACAAACCAAAGGCCACAATTCCACAATTAGAAAACAGAAAACAGAATAAGAAGTTTACTAATTTCATTTTCCATTTCAGACACAAACAGGATCTTTCTGATTGGAAATAATACTCCTTAGTCATTAAAAGTTGTCTAGCTAGAGACACAAAAAAGCAAACTGTGTCCAGCCACAACGCATTTATTATTTATCCGACCCTATTTATATCTCACGCTGAGGGATGTACACGATAGACTGAATCCGCATTTGTTCCTTGCATTCCTTCCGCAGCTGAGAAGATGCAATGAATCATAAAAGGTTTCATTGTTGCGATGTTTTGTCATGGTATGTGTAATCAGCACAGACCCCGTTAAAGAGGCTTCGGAGGATGAGAATTTTAAATATTTAATGTTTTTCTGCCTGTGATAAGTTTAATAATTAATGCTGCTCCTACCCTGGAAATGACAAATCATACAACAAGCACACGTGATAAAAGAAACAAACAGCTAATAGAGAGCAACACTTTACTTAGAAGGTAGTAATTATAAAACTCCATAGCATACCTCAAGATCCCAAAGTACTTTGCAAGCAGAAGTAAATTCTGCCTCCTGACCCAAACAGCAGTTCTGTCCATCTATTAAGCTACCTAATTTTTGAGGGGATGCAGCAGATGAGCGATAATTAAGTGCTAGCCTTTACCTTGCATATGTGAGAAAAGATACACAGACATCATGACCCAAACTGTCTTAAAGACTTCTGCACCCACAGGAGAGAGAAAGAACAATGTGAAAGCTGTTGTCCCTTGATGTTCTGCACAGAGGAGCCAGCCATTAAGTCACTAAAGAAACTTGTTACATGACAGATTAAGAGCAAGACTAGATCTGTGCCTGTTTTCTGCTTTGCATGGGTCTAAATGGAGAGGGAGCTACTCCAGCTCCAAGCAGTGTCAACAAATACCAGCTCTTGCCACCCTCTGAACAATCTGTTTCGTTAGACACTACCACTAGCACATTCCTCTGAGTGCATGCTCCTCCACATCCACTCCCACTGATGATCTGCAGGTATATGCAATCTTCACCCCCCACTGTCTTGTAGGTAGAAGAAAATTCAGCTCACGCACTGCCGTGCTTCAGTGCTGGACCACGCTTATGTAAATGCAACAGAATTAACACTGAAGGAAAGCACGAAGCATGACAGTAATAAAATCTTCTGTGATTCACTCAATTTAGACACGTTTTGAAATGATTAACATCAGAAGTCTGTCAGACAAAGAAGGTGAGCACTTTGATATAGACACTGCTACTATATCCTTCTCTCCAGGTAGAAACTGCTTTCCCTAAGCCCAGGTCTGAGATAATCACATTGTGGGAGATATAAGTATATCTAGAAAGTGACTCATCTTACCTTCAGAGATGCCTAAAACAGGTCAGGTGACTCATCCTCCCTGCTGAATTCAAGAGCCTAGTGTGACTCTTCCCGACTGAGACACGTAACACCTGGTAGACATGGCAGTAGCACATCTACACCAGTGCACAGGCAGTAGTGCCAGAGCACGGGCTCTGGAGCTCAGTCCCCTGCACTGCCCAGCTGCTGGAGCACGCCCTGACCCACACCTCCTAGTTGTCCCCTGAACGGTTCTCGAGCACAGGACCATTCTCAACAGGTCATCTGGATGCAGCCACCCTGTTTTGGAGGCTAATGGAGTTGAATTACTCAGACGTGGTCAGACCATGCCATTTGTCCCCAGGGCCAGATAAAAGAACTGCCATGGCATTGCTAACTAGGATAAGTGCAGCCTTCAATAAGTGGTATCCTAGGTGGTTTTTACACATTAATACTTTGCTACAGAACACGTATTTTTATTTTATTCACTATCTACTCTTCTTCCTTGAATATTCTTTCTTAGAGTGGGCTTAGAGACTTTGGCATGAGGTGAATTAACCTTCTGACAGTAGACAATGTACAACTGTGTTTAAAAGTCACATATTTCCTGAGCCCAACCTTTTGCAATAAAACTAGGTTAGGGTAAAAAAGCATTCACATGTACTCCTGGAAAACCAGGTCAGTCACATTGGTGACCATCCACAGCTTTTTTAAGTTGCGCTCAGAAAGAACCATAAAAATGTTACATTTCCAAAGAAGAGTTCTCTTAACGTAATATCCTTCAAACTCTTATCTGAGGTTTTTGCTTCCTCTGCAATGGAGGAATGGTAGTGTCTCTGCAGCATAACCTCAGCAACGGGATCCAGCTGAAACCACCTGAACCCTCCTCAGTGCTGCAGTGATGTGTCCTGCCAGGTCACAGGGTAGTGTTCACTCAGGGCTCTATACCCATTCTGACTTTTTTGACCTCAAGCAACTAGTACTGCTATAATTTGATTGTGCATCAGGTTTTTCTAGATCAGCTGAAGGGTAATATCCTAAAAGTTTGCTCTGAACTACAGAGGAAGAAGCTCCAAGGTGAGACTTGATCTGAGGTCTCAAAGTCGGGGCAGTATCTTTAATGACGTCTTGCTGAAGCCTGGGTCTCGCTTGCCTGCATGTAGTTCCTTGGTGGTCACTGGCGCCCAGGGGTTCTTCAGGGCTATCTTGCTTAACAGCAAGATCTCCTGATTTACAGGGCTTATTGCTGTTGCCGTTAACGTTAGTGCTGGCAGTTTGCTGAGACACTACTTCAGGATGAAGAACAGCCTCTTCCTCGTCAGCGAGAAGTGAACAGGAGCCATCACTGGTCTGGCTGCTATCACATACTGGACAGTCTTCATTTTGAGGTGGAGAAGAGTTACCATGCTGTACCGGCCGAAGATCTAAAATGCACTCATTCTCTACGTGGAGGTTTGCCAGTCCCTTGTTCTTTTGGTTTCTTGCTGTCATTCTCCGGAGAGCACAGACTAGATCAGCAAGGCTAAGCAAAAAGGATATACTGCTGACCCCCCAGATGAAAATCATCATGATGGATTTCTCCGTGGGCCGGGAGATATAACAGTCAACTGTGCTTGTACAAGGTGAATGGTAGCAGGAAAAGCGCTCAGGAACAAAAAATCCAAAAAGAAAATATTGCACAGCTGCAAAGGCAACCTCAAGTAGGGTCCTAAAAAAAAGATGAACAGTATATGCCCCAGAAAAATTAAGGATGCTTAGGTTGTGTGCACCGCAATCTAATCTATTGACAACAGCACTTCTACAGAGCTCTTTCAGGTCATTGGGGCTTGATAAACCCTTACTCCCTTTGCATCCATGCACCAAACAGTGCATTCTTACAACGTACATAGCTACCTTGTGCAAAACGTAAATGCTGAATGCAGCGTAAGGTAGCAGGATAGACACAGTCTGAATGAGCCAGAATCTGAAGTGAGATACAGGAGAGAACAAGTCATAGCAAACATTGGAGCATCCTGGTTGCAGGGTGTTGCAGACGAAGCGCTCCTGCTCATCTTGGTAGAGGGGGTAGCCTGCCAACACTACCACTGCCATTCGCAGCAGGATTATTAACATTAGCCAGATCTTTCCTAGAAGAGAAGGTAAGAAAAAGTGTCAGAGCATGGAGAAGGAAAGGAAGGCAGGTTATGTAGCTATGCTCTCTCTATACACAAGACATCTGAAGAAATAGCCTCCGTAATCAGTCTCCCCTCTCAAAATCTCCTCCTCAGCAGGAGACTGGGTTTTGACTGGGACTGAAACTCATGTGAAAATGAGCTGACCCATTCCATGGTCTTCATCTAGACTCTACAGTGTAGGAGTTTGACATACAATAAACCATGCCAACTGAAACCCCAGCTTAATGAAATGACTCTGAACATGTCCAAATCTGACAAAAAGAGTTCACAATTGAGTTAATACCCCCATTTAACTTACAGTTCCTCCTTGCTGTTAGGTTCATGCTTCTGCACCTGAATTCTGTCCTGTTTCAATAACATAGACTAGCTAGTATAGTATGAAATTCTTCTGGATACAAAGGATTGTTCTATGACATAGTATTTGGTTTTGGTCTTGGCCATGAAATTTTGTGTAAAGTTTACTAAAGTCAATAAAATCTCTCTGTTTTCTCTAGACTGGTATTTACTAGTGAGCTAGTTAACAGGTGCTATTAGCAAAATTACGTAAAATGTTCTACAAATGTACATTTGTGTGTGCACATGTGTACCCCGATCATTTATCTCTGCTGCTTCCTTGCTTGCCCCACCTTGATCATGTATTCCAACCTTGGTGCACAGCTTCTCACCCCATTCAGACCAAAAGCTCCCTGCTGTCTTGATACCAAAACTAAGTGAAGCCTTAACAATTTTGGCATCTTCATACATTGCTTACTTCATCTTTCCCTGGATTTTCATATGATTGCTTTAGGCAGGCTTCGTCTCATCCACTTTGGTGGGAAAGATCAGGCTTTCTCCTTACTCCATTACACCAATAGCAGTAAAAGATCAGGCATTGGTATGCTACGTATCATATCTTTTGAACCAGACACTATTGTTCATGATAGTTTCTTGGAGGACTTTTGTTTTTGTGAAGTTACACACACGCTGCTCTATTACTGGCAAAGTTATTTACTAAAAAAAAAAAGAAGAAGAAAATAAGTATTTTTCCTGGGCAGGATAGGAAGGCTTAAAGATATACTGTAATACTGTCAAAAATTAACAATATATTCTGTACAAACACATCATCTGAAGTTAACTTAGCACCTGAATTTATCAAGTTTCCTTTGGAGTTCTCTCACTAGTTCCCTATATGATTTTGAAAAATTAATTTAATGTAATCATCCCCTGCTTTAACATCACAAATTTTTAAAACATGCCAAGAAAAGAGGAAAAAAACCCCAACTTAGGAAAAAAGGAAAAAAAAACCAAAACAGAGAAGAGTGATAAGACTAATTCTGTGCTTTAAGGAAGGGTTAAGAAACCGGTTGTATCCACAGGTAGACAAACAGCAAGACTCAGTGACTGAAGAGAAACATGTTGTATGGAGTTAATGGCTGACAAAGGCACTGACAACCTGAGGTCATTAATGGAGATTGCACATCTCACATGCACACAAGGTTTTAAAGATAGTCTGTGAGATAGCACCTATCCACATTCCAAAAGCTTTTTAAAAATCCAGATCCCAAAGAATTTTTTCTACAAAATATGTGATTTTTTTTACAGGTATTGTCTTCAACAACATTCTTTTCTATTTCCCTGTAGTTGGTGTGAGTTTTAAATATTCAAATATTTTTGCCTGTTATTGTACTGACCATGCAGTTCCAACACCTCATATAAACCAGATGTGGCTGGTAGGCTGGTTTAAGGGCTAGAACAGTAAAACTGCACTCTGAAGTGGAAAGACTGCAGTTGGAAAAAGGTTAAGAATATATAAGCTATATGAGAGATCATCAGAGAATCCTGCTGCTCCTGGCAAAATTAGCTAACCATAGATAAATTGATAAAGGTGATTATCCTTAATCACCTGAACTTTAGTGGTGGGTTTGCAGTGTTCTCAGCTTCCTGTATTTGGTGACAAGCTGTACTGTTACTCGCTTTTCGACATAGTGTGGGTCAATAGAAAACACCAGCTGTACAGAATCAGTCATCTTTAGCAAGTAATGTTTCACCCTTAGGTAGCTTTTTTCCCTGTGAGGAGCCTCAGAGTGTTTGAAGCACATCAATTAATTAAGCTCAAAATACTACATGCTATTTCACTATCAATTTTTAATTACAACATGTACAATAGGGAGTGCTGCTTAAGAAAAATCAGTGGCTCCTTAGGAAGTAGTTTAGTATGACATACATTTTAGAGACAACCCCTCTGCGCATCACCTTCCCTAATGACTCAGTCTTGATTAAACATACTCAAACAAGCCCCCCTCCACCGACCCTGCTGCGGCTTAGTGGGATACTCCCTACAATGCACAGCACAAACTACAGCAACTGTCCATGACTGGAGGCGAAGGGTCTTTGAAAGGCCCTTGAAAAGGTTTTTTGCTGGTTCACACTTTGCGCAAAGTAGCCCATGAAAAAGGAACAGTCTCTTGTTTAAATAACAAGGAGAAAAAAAGAAGCACTCAGGTGACTGCTAGCTTAGGAAAAAACAACTATTTTTTGCTCTGTTTGTTTTTTTAAGGCATGTGAACTTTGTTCATTTATCAAAATAAAGAATGAAAAGCAATGGTAATTAACCACAACAGTAATAAACCACAAACTTCTTCCTGTAAAAAGAGAGGTTTGGGTTTTTTATTGCCCTTCTTTAAACTTAAATCATCACTAAAGCTATTTCATACATTCTACCATTCACTTTATGTGGTATAAGTAAAGTGTTATTTCTGCATGTTTTCACGGTGACCCCAACAACAGCCACTAGAGCTCACTGAAGCTCAGGCACCAAAGAAAAGCCAAATTTGAAAACCTTGCCAGAATATTTTACATAAAGTTCAGGAAAAACATCTGTCGGAGAGGGAACAGGTTTAACAAGAAAAGAAATACATTAACCACTTATATCATGTATCTAAATAACAATTTCTTGTTGTTATGTAAGGATCATGTACATATTGTTAAATAAGGATCATGGAGGCATAGCCAGAAACTAAAGTTGGTTATTAGACGGACACCTGGGTGGCTTAAGGATATGGAGCAGCAAAAGAAAGAAGAGTTGTACTTACCTACAATAGTCACGTTATAGTTGAGTGTCACAATCAAAAATCCCAGTGAGTCCCAGCGCTCCATGTTTGAACAGGTTCACAAGACTTCCAGCTCCTGACGTCCTAACAATTTTGGCATTTCCAAAGGAGATTAGACCTAAACAGGGAAGAAAGGGGGGGTGGAAGGAAGGAAGAAAGAATTTTTGGTAAGGGTCAGGAATGGAAACAAGAAACTCAGCCACATCAATGTATTGATGAAGAATTATTCTGTTGAACAGGACTGTTACTTTTGGATCTTGAAACAAATATTCTTAAGGCTTTAACAGTTTGTCTTGCAAATGCTCTAGCTTCTCAGATCCAATTGTTCCTACCTCTTCAGTGGATCCTCTGTCCAGACAACTGCAAGTAGATGTACAACAACAGGAGTGATCTCTGCCATTGTAGACTATTCTTACTCTCCCGGGGCATACCAGCCTCCTGGCATTGCTGAGATATTTCAGTGATGAAAGACAGGGAGAGAGGCAAGAAAAGCATAGACCAGGAAATAAGAAACCTCTCTGTCTCCCCACGAGAATTGCAGATGGATAATAGAAGGAGAGGAGATAGAAAAGGATGAGCATCCCTGTGTTTGCAAGGCACTTTCAGTTTTGTTCACTGGAAGCTATCCCATTGCATTTTCCCAAAGCAATTTTATTTCTAAAACACAGCCTCCCTGACAGACACATCATGGCCTTGTCAATCACAACGGCACCAAGTTTTCTTCTGAGCCAGGCAATGGGCTGAGCCTTCCTGCAGGCATGATGAAAAACAAGGGAAACATTTTTAAAAAAATTAAAATAATTAAAATAAAATAAAATAATGGAAGCTGGTTTTCAAGATGCCACAGTTTACTTACTTTTAATTTATGTCAGTTCTTTCTGCCGAAAACGCTTGGTCGTCTGGACATCCCTCAAAAGATCCTAGGGCTGACTGCCCAGCAACCTGAAAGCCCAGCAAACCTCTGCAGCAACGATGGAGCGTGCTGCCACCTTGGAGCAGGATGCCAGGTGAGGTTCACGCTCCTTGACTGCTGGGTGCAAGTGCACAACATGCCCTTGACATTGTGCAGCTGTACCATACTCCAGGAAAAAAAGCATGGATGGAAATAAATCTCAGGTTTTCTTTCCTCACCCCCACTGTAACCAATCCTCTTGGGGAAAATAATCTGTTACCATTTTTCATACTGTTCAACTACTTATGGGGTGTTACTCTGTCCTTTTCAGTCTGTGCTGTAATGGGGACAAACAGAATATGGACACTCATTGTCAGGAAATTGTGTCAGTAACCAGGAAAACAGTAGAACAAGAGAGTCTGTGTGTGATACAGCAAGGGAGAAAAGTGATGTCCTGACAACCTGGCACCTGAGGGCTGCCAGCAACCAGGCTTGTCACTGCAGCCCTGCTCATGTGCTTCATCCCACGACTGCTCCTGGGGAGCCAGGTGAGTTGGCTCAGACAGGGACCTGGGTGCTGACACTGCACAAGTCACCGTTGGTGTGACTAGGGTAAGCTTTACGACTGAACATGCCCAACTGGAAAAAAGGTAAAATAAGTAATTTAATAAGCTAAAACGTAACTGTAGAAAGACTATTTCTCCCCAGCTCTCTGCTCACAGGGTGTGCAATGCCTCAACAGAACACACTGAGCATCCTTTCTGTAGTGAGCCCCATCCTAAAAAAACTCTGAAAGTGGAGCTTGAAAGGATGGCACTTAAAAGCAAGGCAGAACTCTATATCCATTAACTGTGTAAAAAGATACTTAACTGTAGTAGTAAATACAGGAGTTCCCTGGTTTCAGAATTCATTTATGTAAAATATTTTCCAAACATCTATTCTTTCTGTTACTGAATTGTATTTATGGTGTGTATTTATGATTTTAACTTCATTTCCCCACACACACACTTTTTTTTCCCCGGAGGTGTGTGTGTGAGGAATGTGGGAAGGAAGGAAGGAAAGCTGAAGGAAGGGAACAGAGAAAAGGTGCAATTGGCCAAGATATAAATTATGCTGAGATATGAAGGTATTCATGGTTAAACATCCTTTGTCAAAAATAGAGTCATCAAGATGGTGGCAGGGTATGAATGTTCAGCAGCTGCATCCACACAATAGACTATAAATTGTCCCTGTCAGTACTGCCAGTTAAAATATCCTTGCTTGTCATTACTGTGAGACCCCACTACCATTTGTGAAATAAGAATAACAGCTAGGGATTTAAGTCCCCAAACTGTTGTCGGCAGGACCATGCCAGGCAACAACATCCGATCCCCAAGTATGGATGTGTGCAGGTGGAATGGCTCATTTTCTTCAAAAAGAAAGCAGGCAACATTACCCTCCAGACTCACCTTAACCTAACTCATCAGCCTAACGTAGGGCTAGAGTCATGACTGAAAGCCTAAATTCTGTTTTATCTTTTCCAGACATTTTTAGGTTTTTTACTTCAGCTTTTCCAGGCAGCTCGTATCTTACTTCAGTCCAACACTTCTCCTTTTTGTGGTGTGTCCTCTTCCCAAGTTGAAACTGGGAAGAGACCCAGCCTGTCTAGTGATCCAGGACACCTCAGAGCCAACTTTGATTTATTGTACCCAGAGGCCTCCTTTGGCTGTGATCTGGAGCAGTTTGGTCAAAGAAAGGCAGGGAAGACAAATATAGCCAATGTCAGGGCATGGCCCTCAGGGGCACTGCAGTGACAAAAACTGCCCCAACAGGTTTGTAGGACAAAAACAGGGGCCATGGGCCTGCTGTGCTTTGTGGGTCCCTGTCATCAGCCCAGCTTTGGGCTATGGGCTGAGGTGGTTGTTATAAAGTGGTCTGCGTAAAAATGTAGACTGTAGTTTCTGCATCCCATGACTGAGCGCCATCTCTCAGGCCAGGGTTTCCACCTGTAGATACTCAATATTGTAGCTGAAGATACTGAGCGTATTTTTTCCCTTATTTATTATTTATCTTTAGCGGTTTCCTGTATTCCCTGTTTGTCTGTAAAGACTATAAGTGAGTAAGAAAACCATCACTGCAGACGTGGATGGAGTAGCAGAGGGACTTGGGCTCCGCAGTGCCACCGGTTGGCATGGCACTATCTTCCACATCAGAAGACGGGCGTGTGGCACACAGTCCCATCCCTCCGTACATGCTCCATTGCTAGAATCTCAGAGAAAACCATTCCCAGGCTGTACCAAAGTTTAGTTGTCAAACCTGTGAATGTGCACTGAACTCCAGTTAAGAGAGAGAGGTGGAAAACACTGGCATGTTTTCAGGTAAAGCTAAACTGTGAAATCTCATGGAAGCTCATCATATCTGATTTTAGAAGGCGTCCTAAAAGCCACTGGAAAAACTTCAGAGACCAACAATGAAACATAAGAAGATGCAATCAAAGCTATTTTAAAATCCACAACTGCTGTCCACATTTCTAACCACTTACAACAGATCCAGGGCTTGATCCTGCGAAAATTCACAGAGAGGACTCCATCACTGCCAGTGACCCACTGAAACTGCATTTCACTGTGGACCTATGTCACATCCCCAAGCTAATATCCAGGTTACTCGGCACAAAGCCCAGCAGACACTTCACCCAGACCTTGGCTCAGAATGACTTTCAGAGGAAACGACGTACATTTGGCTTTAAATCACTTCAGGGCTTCCCAATGCAGAAGCATGTCAGAACCACCTGAAGGGTGCCACAGTGTACATCACATGCCAAAAAATTCCAGAAACCAGAGGCATTCCTACAGTATAGCAAATCCCAACCACGTGTGTCTTATGCAGTCAACACCTACACTAACGACAGGGAAGTGCAGTGAAGTGGGAGTTTCTGCAGGACAGTGCACTCTGCACAGCACCTGACAATACAGCAACCTCCCTATACCAATTTAATCAACGTTAAGGCAAAACTAACCAGCACAGCAGCTTCCCTAAGACAGAAGGGGATCTGGCATTTCAGTCCAGGTCCTTCGGCAGATTGTTATTTAAGAAAGAAAAAACCACAGATTCATATCTAGTATTTTAAAGCCCAATTTTAAAATCTATTTAGAATTTTTTCAGTTGGCAAAAATGCTGTATTAGTGACCAATCTTGCAGTGAATCTAGCTCTTCATAAGGTGATCTGTAAACTCAGGAAAAAAATAATCTATTCAGAAGGGACAGTATACATTAAAATTAAGGCAATTAATATTGATGGCCTTTCTTTTAAAATTTGTAAAACACAGCAGAAGGGTGAGAAGAGGAAAACAAGCTAGCCATGAAGGACAACAGCAAACACGTAGCAGGAAAAGCTGCCCAGAACAAATGCTTTTTTGAAGACACACATAGCGCATATGCATGCACGTAAACATGTCAGACAACCCTCAGAGTAATCCCACAACGTGTGTAGAAGCCTACCATTGCGCACACCCAGCGAAGGAGCCAGCGCAGTGTGGGAAGCCCTTGCTTTACGCAGGCACACGCAGCGCCGCACACTTTACATTCCCTCGGACCTCTGTCCATCTGCCAATGGGATAATCGCTGCAGGTGGAATATGCTCGAGTCGCCTCTCCCCAAAGCAGCTATTGTTGCTATACAGACAGAGAAAGCAAGACAATTTTAACTCCAGGATTAGGGCTATGGAGCCTGCACACGCTGAGGTGGGGGAGTGGTGAATGCTTTCCATCATGAACTATTCGATGGGGAGCTTAAACAACGTGCTCCTGCTCCCCACTACTCAGCCTCAACCCCATCGGTCCCCAGAGTGGCATGATGCAGAAGGTGCATTAGGAAACGTTCAAGGAGGTGTCCCACTTTCCCTTCTGTGTAACTTCCACTCCCAGGAAGGAAATAATACACTTGTGCTCAAATATATGCAAATGTCTATGCACATATACGTGAAACAGTCCAGAAGGACATTCAGATCAGTGGAATTCAGCTCATTTTGACTGCTCATATTGATTGGACTTGAATGTGGTAACTTCCACACTAGCTCGGCCATCTCTCATACTTAAGCCTGGTGCCTATAGTGTCTCGCATATGTCTTGCTGTCTCCCTCTTCCTCTGCTAATTTAGTAAATCTAAAAAAAGACTGT